AAAAAAAAAAACCAAAAAAAAAAAAAAAAAAAAAAAAAAGAACCTAACCCCAAACCCTTGCAAATTGTAAATACCTGTAATAATTACAATGATGTAAACTCGGATGTCTGACAGCTTGGCCAGCCTGTGGAACTTGCACTGCAGCAGGACCCCCAGGAGGGGACATCGGACAGCAAGGGCCCGCCACAGAGACATTCTGGTTTAGCCTATCAGAGATGGAGCGTGACTGCTGGTCACTGCCTGTGCTTTCAGCTAAGAGGCGGGGGTGTGTGTGGATTCAAGGGAGGCAGGCTGGGCTGGGGCAGGGAGAGGAAGCCCGAGACGAGCTGGGCAGGAGGGAAGTTTGGTCGCGGTCACAGTGCAGATGCAAAGTGGGCATGGGACCCGTGGGCTGTCTGTCGTGCGGACCTGATGCTGGCGAGGACTACAGGAGGCTACTGCTGCTCTTGGGACCAAAGAGGAACAGGGCACGGCACAGGCGGGAGGGTGGGGAGGAGACTTGGAAGCAGATCTCAATTCCAGTGGGACTGGCGGTGTGAGCTGACTCTAGAGAGAAGGGAGAGGATGTGGTCTTCAGTGTTCTCATCAAGGAGCTAGGCTGTTTCTGCAGGACATGGGCCTTGGGGCACTCCCCTTGGTCTAGCGGGCACGTTTTGGAGCATTCCGGGGCTGCTGGCTTTCCTACCCCGGGAAGGAAGGACATGCCTGCTGGGGTTAGGATGGAAGGGCCCTTTGGCTCTCATACTGGCGGCAGTGGGTTTTGCTCTCATCCCGCCAGTGGACTGCAGCAATGGGAAGTGACCTAAAGCAGTGGCGTCTAGAAACAGTCAGGAAGGTGAGTAGGATGCCAGGTAGGGGCCAAAAAATGCTGGGGCTGGAGGTGAGGCCAAAGGAAGCGTTGGCCCACAGCTTCCCTTTACCAACAGAGGATCCAAGGCGTGGGCGTGTTTCTATTCCTCGCTCCTCTTAGCTAGGTTTTCCAGTTTTGAGGGGGCGCGTCCGGGCCCAGCCACTTCAGTTACAGTCATAGACGAAGTCATAGTTGCTGGGCTCCTTGGGGATCGGTGGAGGAGCATCGGGGATCTGGATGTTTTCCAGGTCCAGGAGGCGGAGCTTGATTTCCATGCTGAGCAGCGTGTCCAGGTCATTCCGCGTCAGGTCGCTCATCATGTCTTTCCCGAGCAGCGCGTTCAGTCCATCCGTCCAGATACAGTACTGGCAGGAAAGGAGGTGACAGTGATCATTACCGATGACAATTACAGGAGTTGTAACAATAGCTAAAACTCGGTGAATACTCGGCACAAGCTAGTCTCTGTGCTGAGTGCTTTGCTACACCGTCATTTGATATTCACAGTATCCCTATGAGGTGGACACTTCCATCCCCATCTCTGTTCCACAGTTGAGAGAACTGAGGCACAGAGAAGTTAAGTAACTTGGGAGTTCCAGTACCCATGTTCTTCTGAGCAAAGAATGCCTCCCTGTGTAACAGCAGAGGATGGAGTCCTCATGACTGTACAACAGAGTCTCTCCAACATCCCACTGGGGGGTACTGGTGGAATATATCCCAACACTCTTGGACTCAACACTGGGTCAAGCCCACTTCTTTCTGGGCTCCCGTCATGGTTCCTAGTCTTATCTCTGTTCTCTGCCCATCCTATCTGATTCGTAGCATGCACAAGGACAGCCCTGTCCCACCCGGACCAATGGTAGTCCTGCCTTTGCATTTCTCAGCCTTCTGCTGCCCAAGTCTGGCAGCCAAAATGGTTACATTTATTGCATGATCTTAATGGGAGGTGAGTTGGCTGCCTGTCTGGGGACCTCTGCTGCCTGGGTCTCCAGATCCCTGGGAAGGGATCACCTGTTTTGGAAGGCCCTCCTGAGTACCTATCTCAGGGTTTGGTTCTTCTCCTCTCATAGAACGAGTCACAGCTTTTGAATCTCCAGTAGACTGAGCTCCTGGAGGGAAGGAACTGTGCTCCGCTGATCAGAGAACCAGCCTTGCTCTTGTCAGCTTCCCTCCCTGAGGCTGGAGTCCTGCCTGAGCCTGGTAAGAGCCAGCCACTGCCGCCAGCATCTTGGAGAGCAGCCTGCGTTCAGATACTGTGCTCTGCTCCGTTAGACTGTCCCTAGGCCTGCATAGGACCTCTAACGGCAGAAATTGCTTTGCTCTTCCTGTGGGAAGCTCTTCCTTCCAGTATTCTCTCTAGATTCCTTCCTCTCCTGGCCTAATTGGGTCGAGGTACAATTCTAGACCTTACTTAATTAGCTTATTTTTTGCACTGTGGTTACCTGGGCTGTATTTCGGAATGTGATAGCAGATCTCAACATAAAAGTACTCAAAGACTGCAAGAACCATATAAGTCATAAGTCACCATGATGTGATGGAAATCTATCATGGTGCATGGCAATGACACCACTTTTTAAGCCGAGGGCATGCACAATGGTGTATTATGAGATCCATGTCTGAGGAGCACAGCATTGAACTGTAGGGCTTTGGTTCTACCTTGGCTATGTGATCTCATCAAAGCATTTAGCCCATCTAAACACTCCTTTAGTGCTAAGGGATTTCTGTAAGCATTAGTGTTCTCGTAAATACCTTAGCCAGATTTTAACAATGCCTGACCATCTGTTTCTTCATAAATAACCTTGAAAGAAATAGGTACCTAGTTTCTACCTCAGAGATCCTGATCTTGTAGACCTGGAGTGAGAAAACTTTATTTATAAGAGCTTTCCAGATAATTCTGATGAACATCCAGGAATGGGTACCACTGAACTCTATGCTTTCAAAGTCCCCTTCCAGCTCTGACACTGTTCTGTGGTAAATCCCTAAGTCCTAGAGATTACTGCTGTTTGTACACAGCCTTCCCAGTCCTGGCTAGCTTCCTAGTGAAGATCAGTTTAACCCACAGGATCATTTTTATGGTGCTTTTCTTTTGAGAAGCAACAGGCACAGAAAATTTTATTAAAAAGTACATTGACCAATAAATAAAAACCTTGTAGTACTGAATTTGAGTTGGAACTATCAACTCATGATGTATTTTATCTTTTAAAATAATCATGTGTTATTATTTTGTAATCTTTTTAAAACAATCATAACTCCCAGCTCTGTCCACAATTGTATAAAAATAATGACCAACCAAGTAGTAATAGGCACACCTTATGCTCGGATTCTGGTCACTAAATACCATCTCCTACTAAAAGTAACTAAAGCTCCATAGAGAAAAGGCAGGAAACCTATAAGATGAACCTGGAGCATCCCGTCATACCAGAATGCCAGAAAGGTATTAAAAACATAACGGGTCATGGCAATAGGACTCAGAAGCCAACCTGATGGTGTTGCCCCAGACAGGATAATCTGGACACTAATAATGACAATAACTGCAACATATCGAGACACAAATATGTTTACATCCAGGACTTCACACTGATACTCAAACACCAAGAACATTTCATTGATTTTCTTTGAAAGATGCTTATTGTTTTAGAAACTGAAAAGAGAATCAAATATTTATCCTGCCTGTCATATATCAATGATATAACTTTAAGGTAACCAAATAGTTGATGAGGCCAGTTTCTCTTTATATATCCCACTAATAAATGAAGAAGGAATTATAGAGTTGCAATATCAACCTCTGGCAACCTCTGATAGATCTAAGGATTTAGGCAATGAACATCAGTGACTGGAAACATCCAAAAAACAGAGGCAAGAAGACACCAAGAAAGTATCCAACACCATTGCTGCTGCTTAAAAACTCAGCCAGAATTTGACTAATCCTCTAATTACCAATTTACGGGAAATACAGGGGACAGATGAATATATAAAATAATATTGCAGGTTGTGGTGGGCGGAATACCCACCTTTCAAGGGTGTCCAGGTCCTAGTCCCCAGATCCTATGAATATGTTTGATTCCATGGCAAAGGGAATTAAGATTGCTATCAGCTGACCTTAAAACAGAGCGATAAGGGCCGAGCCCGTGGCGCACTCGGGGGAGTGCAGTGCTGGGAGCACAGCAGCGCTCCTGCCGTGGGTTCGGATCCTATATAGGGATGACCGGTGCGCTCACAGCGCTCACTGGCTGAGCGCGGTGCAGCCGGTCTCAAAAAGGACAAAAACAAAAACCAGAGAGATGACCTTGTATCATCCAGGTGGGCCCAGTGTAATCACAAGTGTCCTTAGAAGTGAGAGAGGGAAAGTCAGAGTCAGGGAAGAGGAGTCGGAGGACACTCAACCTGCCCTGACTGCTGTCGGTGGACAGAGGCTGCTGTGATTTAATGTCTGGGCCGTTTGGACTCATGCTGAAACTCCACCCCCACTGTAAGAGTAGTGTTGGGAAAACATAGGAAAATGGTCAGGACCCCTCAGATGTTCAGAATCTTGTGGAGCATTTGATGTAAATATGCACGTGCGCTCAGGTGTTCCTTGTTTGTCTAACGTAATTGCACATGTGCACCCAGGTGTCCTGGGTTACGGACTTAAGTATAAAGGATGAGTGGTTCTGATCCATGGTGCCCCCACCCTGGGATGCCCCAGGGTGGGCCGTGGAGAGGCCACTACTGCTGCTGGAGGCAGCTGCTGCTGCTGCTGCCAGTGTCCCCAGGACCCTCTGAGAGGCCACCACTGCTGCTGCTGCTGCTGAGGACTGAGCGCGTGTCATCTGCCAATGGCTCCTGGGATCTTTCCCAATTACCTAGCGTGGACCTGTGTGTGAGGGGTCTGGTGACCCCTCACATGCATGTGAGGGGTTTGTGACCCAGTCTGTACAATGGGTTTGAAGGGTCTGAGCTCTAGCCTTGACAATACAAATGGAAACTTGGTATAACTGGAATAAACGTTTTGTCTTTAGCTATGAAATGCCTAAATTAGTGTAGCTATTGCCTCAACCCAACAACTGACATAGTTGTGTAGCTATACATGTAGTAAGAACTGGGAACTCTATGGTGTTTGAGAGGTGGGACCTTTGGTAGGTAATTAGAAGTAGATGAAGCCACAAGGGTGGAGCATTAATGGTCTTATGTTGGGAAAAATAGGAAAATGTCAGAGCCCCTTCGATGTTCAGAACCTTGCTGAGCATTTGCTATAAATATCCTCAGGTGTTCCTTGTGACTACTTAATGTAAGTTGTGTATGGGCACCTGGGTGTCCAGGGTTGTGGACTTAAGTATAAAAGACTCACAGTTCTGATCCACGGTGCTTCTCAGAACTCTCAGAGAAGCCACTAGGATGGTTGCTCCTAGATCTGAATAAAATCCATTCATTTTTCTATACCCACAGCTCCCAGAACCTTTTTTCCCCCTATTACCTAGCTCACAGACCTGTGTGTGGAGGGTTTGTGACCCAATCTGTGAAACAGACTAAAGGGGTCTGTAAGCCCTAGCTTTACAATTGGCGTAGTTGGCAGGATATTTGAGCAGGTCCAGGAGTCAAAAGCCCTTTGGTGAGGGAGGAAATGTGGTTACTCCTGAATATGTTGTGCCCTCTGGCCACTTTCCTGTTGACTGGGACCTGGTCGCTGCTTACCATACTACAAGTCGGCATAGACCAGGCACTCCATGAAGCAGTGTGGCCTCGGAGAGCCCCTTGGGATGGGGAGGAAATATGGCTATCCTTGAGCATGTGGTGCCCGGTGGCCACTTTTCTGCTGACTGGAGACTGGCTACTGCTCACTATGATACAAACAGATTGAGATTTAAAGAAGAAAGCAGAACTATTGGAAGCATGGATAATCTGTCTGGAGGATGACGTGCTGCGACTGGGCACCCCTGCCTCTCACACCTGGAAGAACGACACCCAGTGGTGAGTTGGAGGAGACTTTGCATCTCCAGGCACGACCTGTTGTGCACCAGAAACTGAAACACAAGCAGTCTATAGGACCAGGTGGACAACCAGAGGGTGGTCCACAGGTAACTGAATTCACTACCTATGTCCCCTATTCCCAGGTTGAATTAGTTGATTTAGGGAGACAGTTCCAGCAGAAACAGGGGGAGCCTCTACTTGCTTGGCTGCTGTGGTCATGGGACCTAGGGGTAGATAGTGTGATGTGCTCTGGTGAGAAGATGGAGAAATTGGCCTCCATCACCATGCACCTGCCCTCAGGGAACAGCTGCAGAATAGCTGCAGATATACACAAGGGCCAGATAATCACTCCTTAACAGAATGGGTGAATGCAGCTGCCCGAACCATGTGGGCAAATGCTGGAGAACTTCCCAAGACTGAG